ATGGTGAAGTCATTGCCACTATTTTGTGGGTTCTTTTTTTCGTGTGTGTGGCTTTTCGTAGGTGCCTCCCACAAAACTAACTGCTCCTTTATCTGTAGTCCTGGGCCTTTAAGGGCCTCAATTATAGCTCTTATCATGCTGTACAGAACTTACAGACTTGTGTCTATTCCTCTCTTGACTCACCTGTTCTTGAGACCAGATAGTGGTCTGCCTGCACTCATCTTTCTATGCTGTCACGTGGTAGTGCCACACAGACAATGCTTGTTAAGTTACATACCATTGCCCACCTCTGACAGCCAGCTGGAGGCACAGCCAGACTAGAACTCAGATCCTCTGACACCATGTGGCATTAGTTAAAATTGTGTCTGGCCACGAACAATCCTAAATTCTGACGGGGCTGAGATAGGAATGGAATGTGCTATGTTGTAGGTTATTTATGAATTTAATTCATTGTTTGTTTTCTTTGGGATGATATACTTACCAATACAATTATGAGTTGGTAATTATTAGCTCAGAAGTGATGCCATACATCACTGAGACTCGGATGCCATAAGGCTGAGCACAGGTGAAACGGGTCCTGCGCTGGTGACTCGCCGGGTCCACTCTCAGATGTCCCTGTCCTGCTCAGGTTGCCCAGAGGCTTACCTCCGTGGACTGCCAGAGGACCAGGGAGCCCACTGGTGAGGCAGGGCAGACCAGGGCAGGGCATCTGGGCCCTTGCTCTTGGCTTCCTGTTGGGTTGGCAGGTGGGAGGCACGTGGGAGGCACATGAGGGAGGGAGGAAGGAGAGGTCTGGTTACTAATTCATGGGGCTCCCTCCTCCTGCACTGGTTACTGATTCCTGGGGCTCCCTCCTCCTGCACTGGTTACTGATTCCTGGGGCTCCCTCCTCCTGCACTGGTTACTGATTCCTGGGGCTCCCTCCTCCTGCACTGGTTACTGATTCCTGGGGCTCCCTCCTCCTGCACTGGTTACTGATTCCTGGGGCTCCCTCCTCCTGCACTGGTTACTGATTCCTGGGGCTCCCTCCTCCTGCACTGGTTACTGATTCCTGGGGCTCCCTCCTCCTGCACTGGTTACTGATTCCTGGGGCTCCCTCCTCCTGCACTGGTTACTGATTCCTGGGGCTCCCTCCTCCTGCACTGGTTACTGATTCCTGGGGCTCCCTCCTCCTGCACTGGTTACTGATTCCTGGGGCTCCCTCCTCCTGCACTGGTTACTGATTCCTGGGGCTCCCTCCTCCTGCACTGGTTACTGATTCCTGGGGCTCCCTCCTCCTGCACTGGTTACTGATTCCTGGGGCTCCCTCCTCCTGCACTGGTTACTGATTCCTGGGGCTCCCTCCTCCTGCACTGGTTACTGATTCCTGGGGCTCCCTCCTCCTGCACTGGTTACTGATTCCTGGGGCTCCCTCCTCCTGCACTGGTTACTGATTCCTGGGGCTCCCTCCTCCTGCACTGGTTACTGATTCCTGGGGCTCCCTCCTCCTGCACTGGTTACTGATTCCTGGGGCTCCCTCCTCCTGCACTGGTTACTGATTCCTGGGGCTCCCTCCTGCACTGTGGGTTGGCAGTGTTCAGGCTCCTGAGTTCTGCTACGCAGCCCCTTTTCAATGGCTTCAGCACTCACTGCTCCCTCCCTGACCCTTTCCCTAGCCTAAGGGTGTCTCTGTTATTTAGTCCCTATGGATTCCTTTAATCCCACCCTTACCTCTGTCACTGGCCCCTTCACTAAGCCTTCAGTTAAGCCGTGCAGTATGCCTTCTGTCTCCTGCTAGCCCCCTAACTTAGCCCTGTCTTTGCCACTCTTTTGGATTGAATCTGCAGGCAGGAAACCATAGATTGGTCTTCAGTAGTTTTTCATTCCTTTAGAGCAGTGGCTCTCAATCAGGAGTAACTTTGCACACAGGAGACACTTGGCAATGTCTGCAGACGTTTTGGTTGTCACGACTGTGTGTATGTGTGTCGGGTGCCACTGGCATCAGGCATCTAGTGGGTAGAGGTCTGGGATGCTGCTCAATATCCCACAATGCACAGACAGTCCCCCACAACAGAATTCTCCAGGCCACATGTCAACAGTGCTGAGGTTGAGAAATCCTGCGTGATGGAGTCACCAATGGAATTATTAAATGATTAGTGTATACCCTTTCACTACGTACACCCATCCTGGAAAGTGCTATAAAAAGAAGGTCCTGGGGAGAATCATTTGTTCCCACCATCAGCACACACCTCCGTATGTAAGCATGTTGGATCCTGGGGAACACGGCCGCCAGGTCCAAGTCACTGCTCCAACACACCTGCGATGAGAGCTTGAGCCGGCCACGCACCCTCTCTGCAACTCTCAGCCCTCACCTATAAAGTGGTGCTGATGGCGGTCCCTACTTCACACAGCTGCTGTTAGGATGGAATGAAGCAATAAATGCCACAAGCACGCAACTAGGAAGAAAGCCCTTTACAAACACTGACACACTCAAATGTGCAAACCCTTCCCAGGCTGTGTTGAGGGAGACAGAGAGGATAAGACAGGGCCTACTTCTAAGAGGTTCATAAGTGAAACAGTTTTTCAGGTTTCAGGTTGCTCCCTGCTACAGACTTGTGAAATTCTTTTAGAGGTTGCATCTAACATTAAAAATTGGAAAAGACATTTTCAGGGTGCCTCACGTTGAGTCAGGGTAAATACCACTTAGTGACATTTTCCTTTTAGTTCTACAGATATATGTGTGTACTGGGTTGTGATGGAAAATTTATTTTTTTTTACAGTGGAGTGAGATTAACAAAACAAAGTTTAAAAGCTACCAGTCAAATAGAAAAGGCAAGACACCCAAAGTGCTGTAAGAGAAGGTCCTATGATTTTGCAGAAAACTTACAATAGCCTGCGAAGTCCAGCTTCGCCACTTACAGGGTGTGACACGTGTGTGTGTGTGTGTGTGTGTGTGTGTGTGTGTGTGTGTTTTGGGCTGGTTACATAACCTCTCTGAGCCTCAGCTTCATTGGCTGAAAAATGTGAATTAAAAACATACGTGTTGTGGGGAAACTCTAAAAAGGCAATGCACACACAGTGCCTAACACAGGGTCTGGTGCACAGTAGGTGTGCAACCTACGTGTGCTCCTGACCTCCTAGCCTTCTGGTTTGGGTTCTCACTGCCCATTGTCTGGCATCAAACCTTAACTGATGACCAAGACAAACGGACCCTGAGTAAATGGAAATATGAGAAACACCCAGCACCTATTTAATCCGATGAAATGACAACATTCATCTTTGCTTGTCTATTTTGGGAAACCCATGGGAAGGTCCAGACAGACGCCTCACTCCCGCAAAGGCCCAGCCTCAGTCATGGAAAATGTCCCCAGGACACCTCCCGGGGAGTTTCTTGTTTATTTTGTAAATATTTCAAAGATGTCCTTCTACCCACGGCTGAGGCAAGGAGGGCGCTCATCAGAGGTTCACTTTTGAAGGGAACGCTCTGCCTCCGGTGCTGCTTTTATCCCAGTTTCTAGCCAGAAAGCCTGGCTTGGGCGGGGGCTCCGCTCTGCCAGTGCCGCCTCTGGGGTGGGCGGGGTGCTGCGCTGTGTGGCTCAAGTGGGGCCCGAAGGGACAGCTGCCCAGATCTCCACTTGGTATCAATGGCTCCCTCTCAGCACAGGGCAGTGATTAGAGTTCACTTTCACTCTTCCCTCAGGCCCTTGGCATGGTCACTGTGTGCCCACTTCCTTCCTCAGTCCCGCACACTGAGACCCTCATCACCCAGTCCCTCACTCAGTTCCTCACTGATTCCCTCAGTCCCTCATTCATTCCATCATTCACTCCCTCCCTCCCTCACAATGCAAGTCCACTCCTCTTTTTATTCCCCCGAGCCTCCTAAGGGCTGGATCCTTAATAGGTGCACAATCCAAGTTCATTATGGAATCAATTAGAACCAACATCAATTTGTAATTGGTAACAGTTAAAGGCTTAATGAGCAAGTTATGTAGCAAACCACTGGTGTTTAGCTCTGTAAATTGTGTGCACTGCGAATAAACTCAAGGTTGAAAGGAATGTCCTCCCATATGTCCCTTGCAGTTTGAATCTCCTTGGGTCCTAGAGAGCTCCCTGCTTTGGGGTTCACCCACTCCTCTCTATAGGTGGCTCTTGGGGTTAGAAATTCTCCATGATTGGAGTAGAAATCTGCTCCCTGCATTTTCCACCTGCCATTCCTGGTCTGATCTCTGGCCACTGACACCTCTTGAGAGATTTGAGCCTCTAAGCGACAGTGCTCCCTAAGTTATGTTGCCTACATGTGAAATGCATTGTGCTCTACATCAAATGAGAGAGGGCTGACATGTGACTGTTCTCCCACTTTGCACTGGGGTAGGCTAAGAGGGTGAACTCTAGATTTAAAAGGCAGTTCAGATGGCCTTGGGAAACTAGCTTAATTTCTCTGTGCTCGGTTTCCTTGTCCATAAAATGGGAATGGTGACATTTAATCCTCATCATTGCTCCCAGGGCAATGATGAGGATTAAATATGATGATGCTGATCAAGTGTCTAGCACGATATTGAGTGTTATGAGTAGCCCGGCCTGCAGTGGGGCGACTTGGCCTACACATTTGAGAAATGTCACTCCCTTGGGCCACAGACCGCAGAGGCAGATGTAGAGATGCAGTTATACAGATCTCCGTGTCTGCAATAAGAACAGGACCTCAGCCCTGGCCAGGTGGCTCAGGTGGTTGGAATGTCGTCCTATATACTGAAAGGTTTGATCCTTGGTCAGGCACGTACAGGAGACAACCGATCAGTGTTCTCTCTCACATCGATGTTTCTCTTTCTCTGCGCCCCACCCCCCGCCCCCTCACTAAAATCAATAAGCATATTCTCGGGTGAGGATTGGAAAAAAAAAAGAACAGAGAAGAGTATGCCCTGAAGCCACATTACACACCAGACCCAGTTTGGGACAGGGTGAGCTTGCCCTTGGTATCACGTCTGCCGCCCACCGAGGACCCGTGGCAGCCCCGGCCTGCCTACCTTGGTACTGGGCGCTGAAGCCACGCTGTCGGTGGTTGCCGTCGGAGGTGAAGTGCAGCCGCAGCCAGTTCTTGCTGCTGATGACAGGGGCTGGGAGGCTGGCTCCAGTGAACCTATGGGGACAGGAAGGTGGCAAGGTCAGGGACCACAGCTGGTTGGGACAGGGGAATAGGCATCCAGGAGTCTCCCCACTTCCCATGCCTGCTGGGGCCTCTGCCCAAGCCTGGAGCAAGAAGGGAGGGGTGTGCTGGCCCAGTGGCCTCCAGTAGCCAGGGCCTAAGCTGCAAGAGGTGGCTCCTCCATGGGCCTTCCCACTGCCCAGTTTCCCTGAGATGTCCGAGGAGGGGGCGGGTCCTTTAGATCTGGAGCAGAGGTCCAGCTCCCCAGCAGACTCTAGCCTGCCCCCCAGGAGAGAAATCAAGCTCCCCCAGCATAGTACCCCCCTGCAGATGTCCACATCACCCCAGGAGAGACCCAGAACCCCCAGTGCAAGGTCAGCCCCATGTAGAGAACCAGTGTCCCCCTCCCCAGCAGTGGCTAGTGCCCATTCCCAGGCAGAGGTTCAGCTCCCCCTGGCAAGCCCCTGGGACCTGCAAGGGGCCAGGACAAAGGGCTGGGGACACCACTATAGACAGTGTGGCCCTTCACAGGTGTGAGAGCCCATTTTGGAGCCACTAATTAGGCCCTGGGTCTCCTCTGGCTCCTCTCCCTGTCCCTGCTGGCTCGCCCTTCCTCCCTTAGGTTAGCCTCCTCAGGGTTCCAGCCAGTCCAGTTCAGTGGGTGGGACATCAGGATATCCCCCACTGTCACTGGTCACTGCCCTGGCCTCTTGACCAACTGCCGTCCTGAACCAACTTCCAGCTCAATCAGATCTTTCCTCCTAGAGTTACTCAGAGCACAAGTATCTTCCGTGGCTCCCCAGTATCTACACAAGACTGGCCTTCCAAACCTTCCCCCAGTCCTCTGCTTGAACTGGCCTCTGCTCCTTGCTGGCCTTCTCTACCACACTCAGCCTAAGCCCTTGATTCCCCTCCTCGCTCTGCTGACTCTCCTGCACCCCAGATATCCCCCCATCTTCTCTCCTCTATCTGACAGCCTCCAAGCTGGCCAGGTGCCCAGTGTCTCCCTCTGTTCCTCCTGCAATCAAATCAGGCAAGAGCCTCCTCACGCTTCTCCTCGGTCACAGTCACCCTCGCTCCGTCTGCTCCCACTCCCCGACACTGCCTCCATCACCTAAGCGCTCCATGTGTCGCCTGTTCTAGTCTCTGCCTTTCTGCCGGGACATACTCTCCTGCCACCCTCACCCCTGCACCACACGTCACCATGATGACTCTGGGAAGCTCTCAGATATCACAGCCCCAGGACAGCCTTTCCTCTTCTCCTTGGCTTTGATGCCACAGAGATTTTGGTTCAAATCCAGGTTTCACCACTAACTACCAATGTAACCTAAGACCAGATACTGAACCTTTCTGAGAATGAGAATAAGAACACCAGCCCCCAAAGAGTTTGTGGGAATAAATGAGAGACCTTGTGGGTAAAGAACCTAGCCCAGTACCTTACACGTATTAGCTCAGTCAATATACTTTTCCTTGCCCCTCCTCTGTGATGCCACAGTATTTTATTCAAATTATAACTCATTTTAGGTGTGTGTCTCCCTCAGATAACTCCTCAAAGATGGCAGTGTAGTTCTGTGGCAAAGAGGGGTGGGCTCTGGAGGGATCAGCTGTGTGATCTTATAAGTTACTTAAGCTCTCTGTGACGTTCTCTATAAAACGAGGACAATAATAACCCTTCCCTCAAGGGCTTTCAAGGATTAAATGAGATAATACACAGAAAGACCTTAGCATGGTCCCTGGCAAACAGAGAGCTCTTGGTAAGTGGCAGCTGCTATTTTCTTCCACATCATTTTTATTCTTCCTCTTTGTACCAAGCACCTAACAGAATGGTTGGTACAAAGCAGGAGTGTCAGGATTCCAGCAGAAAATAGCTGGCAAGGTCGTATGAGAATAATCTCAGGAGTTTAATGGATTCTTCACAAAGCAAATGATTCTTTCCAGAGCAAATGGTTATCCCTGAAGGAGAGAGGTGCATGGACCCAGATCTTCAGTCCAGACTGCAGCCAGTTTGTCCAAATTGCACCAGAAGGGAGCAAGGAATGAATACCTGGAACTCACTCTCCTCCCTCCCCTCCTCCAATCTCTCGCTGAGGCTTCTGTTGATCTTGTCCAATTGGAAGCCAGGGGGCAAGAGAGCATACTGATAGGTAAGTCTTCCTGGGCATGGGACAGGAAGCATAGGGAGGGGAGAGGATCTGGAGGAGCAAACAGAAGAGATCCAGCATGGTAGGTCTCCATTAATAGGTACTAAACAAAAGAACTAACCACAGAGCTCAACACCCTGCATCACTGAGTTTTTACTATAATGAAAATGCTGACATACACTAAACTCCAGGAATATAACCCATATTGTTATGGTAAGAGCTATTATAGAAACCAATTACTGTATTTCACCAGATCCCATTTAAAGTAGTTTATTACAGGCCGAGTCATTTAAGTTTTTTAAGGAGCCACAAACAGTATTGTGGGTTGTGTTTTTTTCTCCAGGCCAAATTCAATTCTATCTCAATGACAAAGCTTAGAGGCTATTTACATAAAGGAAGTAAAAAGAGGGAGAAATTACCTGAATAATTCAAAACCAAAAGCTGTTTATTGCAAAATGGGATGAAGGGGAGGGGGGCAGATGGGGGGTAATGGGGTCCCAAGAGCAGGATGGGAGCAATGATCAAGACTGTAACCAGAAGCCAGCCCCGGGATCTGCTTTAACCCCTAACTGTACAGCCTGGCAAAGCCCCAAGGGTCACCTCCCACCTTATGGATCCTGTTGTTAATTCCCAAGGCTTAACCTTGCAGGGTCCTAAGTTGCTTCTACCTCCCTGGATGTAAATGTTGCACATTTAAGAGTTTTCTTGGCATCTATCAAAGAAAGGTGGGGCGAGGGGGGGGCGGGTTGTGTGTGTGTGCCCTGGCTGGTGTTGCTCAGTGATTAGAACATCAGCCCACGTACCAAAGGGTCCCAGGTTTGATTCTTGCTCAAGGGCATGTACCTGGGTTGCAAGTTGGATCTCTGGTCCCAGTTGGGCATATGTTTCTCTTACTTTGATGTTCTGTCTCTCCCTCCCTCCTTGCTTCCCTCTCTCCCGCCCACTCTCTCTAAAAATCAATGGAAAAAATATCCTCAGGTGAGGATTAACAACAAACTCTGCTGTGGAGATGGTGTCATGCTTTATTCAAAACTCTCCAGTAAAAAGTACTGATGCATGGAACAACAGGGATGACTCTCAAGAGCAGTATGCTGAGTGATAAGAGTATATGCTGTGCAATTCCATTTACATCCAACTCTGGGAAAGACCAATCTACAGCGAGATAAAGCAGACTGTGGTGGCCAGAGCTGGGGTGTTACAGATGGCATTGCCTGGGAAAGAGTACAAGGGGCCTTCTGGGCAGTGGAAATGTTCTCTATCCTGAACAAGGTGGCAGTTACGTGCGATTTACACATGCCAAGGTGGCTGCAGAATAGGTGGAAGCTACCCTCACCTCCTCCCAATCGGTGCCAAACCAGATTTATGGCTAAATTATAAAGCAATCAACCTGAGTAACCAACTGAAGGCTAGCTAAACTGAAGTACTATAACAAAGGATTTACAGAAGAAGCCACACAGAGGCTGGTAAGAGGGTGGAGACACAGAAAAGGATGAGCTTCCCCCCCCCTACCCTCCGCCCCCCCCCCACACAGGTGGAGTGGCTGAGAAACCAGAGGAATATCTCAGCTGCAAAACTCCCTCCTACTAGGAGCGTGGGGCTCAACCCCATGCAGGGATCCCCAACCCAGAGCAGCAGAGATGGAGGAGCCCACAGTGCATCTGGTGGTGAAAACCAGCGGGGACTCAATCTGCCTGGGAGAGCAGAGAGTCTGCTAGAGACCCAGACATCTTCCCAGCTCAAGCACTCCTACTGTTCCAGTACCTGCCTGGAGAGTGCACTACCAGGTCCCCAACTACTAGCGACACCACTCTGAGTGCTTGAGTCCTGCAGAGGGTACGCTGGCTGCACCCAGCGGGGATCTTTGGTGTGTTCTTTCTCTGGAGAAGCTTTTGGAGGAAACTCAGTAAGTGCTTCCCCCTTCCTGTGAACACGGCCAGCCTGGGCCCACTCTGCAGCATTTCCTCAGCAGACTCCAGGAAGACCAGGTAGCCTCTAATCTGCCCCCAGCTATAAGCTGAAGGAAATTGACCCTTGTACACAGCTTGGCCCCTCCCATGCACACCCAGGTCCAGTAGATGCAGCCACAAACAGTGAACAGTGTGGTAGTTCCAGACAGGTAACCCAAGGCTGGTTACACACGATTTATGACATCAACCTGTACCAGAACACTGCCCAAGTGATTCAGAACCAATACAACCAGTGGTGGCCTTCAGACTACACCAGAGCTTGACCCAACTAGCCACACAAGCAGCATACCCAAAGGGGGATTGTGGCAGGCACCAGATCCTGCTGGAAACAATTCCACTTCGGGGGCAGCCCTGCACAGAGACTCATACACGGGTGATAGAGGTTCATCCTTATAGTCAGCCAGCCTGAGGGTAAACCGCACCACAAAAGGGCCAACAACATTCTAGACTCAATTATAATAGGAAAGTGCACATTACCCACAAGAAGCATTCCTGGAGCACCAAGCTCAGGTGATCTGGAAGATTGTGCTTCTGAACCCAACAAGAAACCTACATCATAAAGCCATTATAACAAATTTGGGAATCATATCAGATCTACTTAATACACAGAGACAAAGAAATATGCCCCCCAAAAAAGAATAAGAGATATCTCCCCAAAAAGAATTAAATGAAATGGAAGCAACCAAGATACCAGAGGCAGAGTTTAAAAAAATAGTTATGAGGATGCTCAAAGAGCTTAGGGGAAGAATAGATGATCTCATTGAGAACGTAAACAAAGACATAATAAGCATTAAAAAGGACATAGAACCATAAAAAAGAACCATTCAGAAGTGAAGAATACACTAGGAGGAATCAACAGCAGACTAAATGAAGCAGAAGACAGAAT